CTGAAGATGGTGCTCAAGAGAAGCTCTTCTAATAAGAGTATTGGGGGGGATGCTAAGAGCTGTGTTATAAATTTTTTTCTAATGGGGGAGTGTGATGCTGGGTCCAGAATATGACTTCACTGTTGGCACTCTTCTCTTATATCTCACTGTTTTCTGTCAAGTTGAGTTTGAGTACGTTAAAATGTTTCTGAAATAATAAAAAACCATACCTATGAAGATATGAAGAGAAAGTATTTTTCAGCTAGTAGAACTTGTGACTTACCTTGCTTTTCTTTAAAGCTTTTGTGGGCTGGTGGAAACAGGAAAATGATTAGGATGAACGTTTTTATTTTGAGTTAATTTAACTTTGAATTAACTCATTAACTGAGTAAAAATTTTTTTTTTTTTAAAGGAAATGAAGTGTATATTTTCTAGCAGCAAGAAAGGCCAATCCTAACAAGAGCTGGCCTACCAGATCAGAAACGACTGGTGGGGTTTGCTTTTTTATTTTAGCTGCTTAACTAGTGATTTGTACTTGTTCATTAAATACTGACTTTCTTCACAGCTTTAGTAGCCAGTATAAACTTTTTTCCTGGGTTTATAGTTTAAACCTTCATGGAAATAATTTAAATCTAAAATTGGACTTTTTTGCTAAATACAATTTGTTTTTAACTATTCTCTGTTTAATTAAAACATATTATTCCTGAATCTAAGAATTCTTCTTCCTTAAGTCCTACTAGTTGAATGTAAAGAAGGGGAGTTCAAAAGTAGTATTGGTTTTTGGTTTTGTGGTTTTGGGTTTTTTTTTCATTCAGTTCACTTTTATGTTCTGGTTGTAATTTAAAGTTTACTTGAAAGGTTTTAATAGTTTCCTGCTGTGATCTGGCTTTTCTAAGTGGAAAAACAGATGTGTACATTCAAAAGACAGCCTTGAGAACATAATCGTAACTTATAAATAAGAGAATGAGTGTGTTAACTCATTATCAAAGGGTAAGATGGGGTGTGAACTTGCAGTACATCTACAGTAACTGCCATGTACAAATGTTTTCCCGTGATAAAAATAAGGTGTTTTATCCTTTGAAAAAGATCTATAAAATTCTCTTACACTTTTCGTATTTTCTACTGGGTGAGAACAGGCTTTCCAGAGCAGCTAATACAGTAAATTCATATCCTTGTGTACCATGAGGCAACTTATATTATAATCCAAAGTTATAGTAATCCACTTAAGACCAAAATTTTAAAAATGAAGATAAGTTTATGCTGGATAATAGTCAGTGAGACCAATCCAATAGAGATACTTGGATTTTGTAGGTACGATCTTTAAGTCAAGCTAGGAATGTTGTTATTTTTATTACAGAAGAGGTGATGTTAAAATGAAATTTACTGTGGCTGGGAGCCAAGATATAGGAGTCTTATAAATCAGACTGTTTAACAGAATGGTTTTCCTATGTTTTGGAGCCTGTGTGTAGCAATCTGGCACAGCTTGAGATGGAAGATTCAGGAGTAACCCATTTGAGCTCGATCTATTCCCAAACTTTAAATACCTGAATGACGTTTTTTAACAATCTGGCAAAAAAGCCCAACTGTTTACATGTATAAATAAAAGATTACTGGTTTATAATTTTAGCACCTAAATGTATTGATGATTTGCAATGTAGATCAAAAATCCAATACTTGCCTTTAGCTGTACTTCTTCAGGAACAGCTCTTATTTAGTATTTCCACTCAGTTCAAACACTTAAATGAATTTGTAAGTGCTAAAGTCTCTCTCTTCTTTCTGTCTTGTTCTAGGATGTTTTTGTATTTAGGCATGAACTTGCTGTCCTAAGAATATCTGCCTTCATGGGTCTAATAATATTAGGTGGAATAAGTGGACTCTTTTACACTCAGCTAATGGGTATTTTCACTGTAAGTATCTAATTTTAGAAGTATATATTAGTTTTGTTTTCAGTAACATTAATAAAAGCAGAAGGGCAGATCGCATTTAAGGCAAGAACAGAGAAACACTTGCACTATGAGGCAGCTATTTGGTATGTGTTCTGTCAAGACTCTTGTCTCCAAGAAAATCTTAAGAAGCTCTTCTAACAAAGAAATGTCTAATAATTCACCCATCCAGGCAATTTCCTAATTGGTATTAGTAAATATATTGTCCTGGAATTGTGGAGTATACAAGGTATGTATTTGTGAGTTTTGATTTTTGTTTTTATTTTAATCTCTTACATGCCCTGGTCTCAATTATACTTTGTGACGGCAAGACCCACTGATAATTCATACATTCTGAGAACACAGAGTTTTTGTTAAGTATTTTAGTAATTATGCTTACTTTCATATCTCTGCAGTTACAAAACTGTGGAATGGAATAATGTACAATTTACAGTCTAAATGCATATTCTGTATTGAGAGGTACAGAAAAAATCCTCTGCATGGAAAAATTTTCCAGTTAAATTAATATGGTAACATAACAAATGTCTACAAAATATTTATTTATTTTTGTTGCTGTAAGATCCTCTCATGTACATTAGAAGTTAACCACTGCAGTAAATTTTTTAAAGTTATCTTGAGAATCCATAGAAGTGTTTGAAGTACTGCAGTGTTGAACAGAGGGAGTACATTAGTTGGATCTGTACATGTCTGAAAGGGTGTATGATCTGGGCTGCAAAACTTTTAAAGACAATAATATACAAGATTACAGCATCTTTGTGACTACAACTGATTGAGATCTGCCTGAGATTTAGTTCTGGGATTATGAGGGTTTACACAGTATTAACCTTTATAGGTGCATAATGGAAAACCTCCTAACTGTATTATGTAATTCCTTTGTATGGAATAAAGGACAAAAATTACTGTATAGTTTTTCCTTCTTAACATAATAATATTGCTTATTGTTTTTCTTGTATTACCTTTACACAAGTTCACTGCCTTCTGCTCTTTGTGTGACTGTAGCTATGCTGTGTATTATTTTTGCCATCCTCCAGCTGCCCTACCAGACTGCTCTCTGCACTTTCTGTCAACCCCCAGGTCTACAGATTTACCTTTGCGCCCCTTTACTGCGTGCCTGATTTCTGTTTCAAGGTCTTGCTAATAGGTTCTCACCTCCCTGTTTAAATGCTGGCACAAACCTTTGTGTCTGCATGCTCTAGAGTTGGGATTTTTTTCAAACCTGATACTCTGCCTTGCTGGGTATCTAGCTGAAGAGGTGCAGACATCTAAATTATGCTCACCTTTACTCCCAGTAGTGGGAGAGACAGAAACTGAGGGACACTTAGAGTTCAGATGCTGAAACATGGCTGGCTTTTTAGTCTCTGTTAAATGGATATATGAGAAGGAACAAAAAGCTATGTGATTGGTACTGCACTAAACCACAGAAATGGTACAGAAGAAAACAAGGAACAAAAATGAAGTCTACCATTTTGTTCTGTGTGCTGCCAGAAGCTGGACTAAATTGTGGCAGTGGCCATCAGCTTCCATTCAGATACTATTAGTATACATGAAATAAAACCACTCAGACTGAGCCTGATTCTGTCAGATACACCTGAAACTTGGGACATTTCTTTTCTGACACACAATACTAATTATGCTGCCTCTGCAACACGCTTGAATTCCCAGTATATTCTTTCACTGTTGTGAGCCTTAACGCTGTCAGGCGACTACCACCACTGCAAACTCTTACAAAGCGCTGTAAAGCCCCTTTATTCTATGTCAATTGTATAAAACACTGAGAAGTACATCCCATTGCACTTACTGAGCTGGCCACTACCCTGGAACAGATGTGGGCTAATAGCATTTTCAAGTCCAACCTCCTTTTATGTGCTCAAATTGTAATTCTGTGGATCGCTGAGCTGCAGTATGCCTGGATACTGTCTTTTGTCCTCTGTGCCAAACTTGGTGAAACAAACACACCACAGTAATTGAGGATATGGATGGACTATGAGGGGCAGATGCTAGAAAGTAAACATCTTCAGCATTAGGATGTCTCACTGCACCCTACCTGTAGCAGAGGGGCTATTGTGCTTGCCTCATACGGACAAGGTTTCAGGTTTGGGATTGTTGGGTTGGGATTGCTGGGAAAGTAGAAAGTCTTTACTGGGATCTCCGAACTCTTAATTCATTCACACCATGTGGATGCTGTAGCATTGACTCATTGAAGAACATAGGTCATCTAGTCCATCCCCTGCTCAAAGCATTTCCATACCAGCAGCACAATCACTGCATTCTTTTTCATTCCTTTCTTCCTGGGTATAGAATTGGCAAGAATAAACAATACAGTCATTTTGAGGAAATCTGCTTGGGAACAACTAGTCAGACTTCAAACGAACAAAGCCAAATCTGTTTGGTGAGGTCATGCTTGGTCTGCAAGTTGTGTCAGAAAATCTCTCTATACAAATGGGGTTTGATTGTCAGCATTGTAGTGTGGGGATTTGCTTCCTCCACAAGCACTTACAGCTTTGGCTAGCCAATGGAAAAGGCAGAGGAGAGGGCAGCAGGTGAGTGAGTGGTTTCTCTGCAGGCTTCCCAAAAGCATTCCGATGATGCATAGAATAGGGGAAAAAAAATGGGTATACCCGCTCACAGTGGTGAGCGCACAGCGTGGAAGACATTCAAGTCCTGTAGAAGCAATGAACTGTAATCACTAAAAGACAGTGATGTTCCTACCATGTACTGTGCTGGAATTACTGTTCAGCATCTAACCTTCCTGTATAAGCTAAGCAAATTGTATCTGAAATGAGCTCTTCTTAAAATAATGAATTAATGATATTAATCTTAATTTAGTATAAGGTACACATCAAAATTTATTTCACAGCAGAGCACAATCATTGAAGTGTAATAGGGCAGGCTTGAGGTTAATTTAGAAGAAACTCAAACACCTGAAGGCATGGATATGCACAGTTAAAGCATTCATGTTGTATTAATTGCTGCATAGCTGCTATTGAGAGCATTAATTTCAGTGATTGCTGAAACTGCCCAGAGATGTGTGCAAGAGAGTGGACAAGAGCATAAGCCTTTTGGAAAAGGTGAAGCAGAGCAGCTCTTGCTTGTGCTTGTACAGGAAAATAGATAACAAACATTTTCCTAGTTCATGCTCCATGCTTGTGTTTGCAGTTTAACATCAAACCAAGATTAGTTCCACAGCTGCTGGATAAGAGTTATTTTTAAATAATAGAGACAATCAGCAATGCAGCTCTGTGATCTGAACTTTGATTGATACATACTTTGACTGATAGCATACATATATATATATGCTAAATGAGTCCAGCAAGTTCAGATTTGTTGTTATTTATATTTCAAATGCTGCCAAAATTGTATTTTTCGAAAGAAAAACTCAAGATTTATCAAACTTTGGCTGTTTTGTAGCAAAACTTCCTGATTCTCTAAGAGGTAAACTTGCTTGACTGTCATTATATAGTTTTTCCAGAAACCAAGCCAATAGTTTCTGTCTCATCTAAGTAATGTAAAGCTAAGGCTAACTTTTTCCAGGAATATTGGACGTGCAGATTAAAAAAATCCCCAGTTCTCTGTCTTTCAGTATCTTCTACATACACAGAATGTGCTCTGCTTACTGTCAGTCTCACGGAAGCAAGTTGGGAGAATGAAACTGCAGAGTTGCTCATCCTCCTTTAGCACCATCAGCAATAAGGAACTACGACCTGAAATGGCAACTTTGTGCTTCATTATTTATGGTTAATTTCCACAATCTGATGGCTCTGCTCAAATGTAAATGATTGGAATGTAGCATGGATTATGAAGCCTGATAGGTCCTCTAGGTCAGAGCACTCGTGCTGATTCTTCATATTTACAGAAGTTTATCCTTTTGCCACTGCAGGAAGATAGATAACGTTGAATGTATGGAATTGATTTGCATTACGTGACCTTTGTATACAGCATTTTCATAAGCAGAGTTGCTCTTTACTACAGTTGATGTGAGTGGTAGCTTGAAAGCCATAAGAACAAGCAGAAGTTTGTAATAGGATTTTAAGGGGAAATACTGGTATTTTCTCCTCTTTGATAATTTTTTTCAGAAGTCAAAAAATGTTGTCCAACTGAATATGTAAAGGACAGGATATATCTGATACACTCCAGCATGTTTTTCTGTAACAGAGCAGTAGCTAAAACAGGAAAGCAAAGCAGCACATTATGAAGTGCAGGTGAAATACTCTGCTGTGTGTGCTGGCATTTTCCAAAATTGAGTGGTGATGTGCAGTTGACTGATGTTCTGTGCCTATCATTGCATTAACTCTCATTGGATATTACAGTAGATGCATTATGTAGAAGTTCTTTAAAAAATGCATGTAATCTGCTGTTACCCTGTTTCATGTGTGTTCAACACATATTAAGATACTTGGAAAATATATGCTCTCTGGTAAAAACGAAAACTTTGTAACTTGTGTATGCAAATTTGACTTGTACACAGAGAGTGTTCTTAAGGCTGTACTGCTCGACAAGGTGATTAACAGACCAAGTTACCTAACATGCAGTAATTTCTCTGGGTAGGTTTTCCACCTCTCTTACTGTGGTATCACCGTTAGGGTATCATTAGCACAAGGCTATATCTCATCTGAAGGTCCAGGGAGCCAAAGAGCAAGGGAGGTGACTTCCTGCAATGAGAGGAGAACAGCTGGTTGGCAAAAACTGTCCTTAGAGGAACTTTTGACATGATTGTTCTGATGAAGAGGGGAGCAGCTGAGGTGGCCTCTGTATACGGGATTAGTGCTTTCTCCCTAGAAACTAACATATGTGAAACACACTTCTAGCAGAGGGGGCACATGGCTCTTTTCATCCTCCTTCTCCAATTGCTTTCCCCAAGCTCTGTTTGCCTGTACTCTCATTATCATCCTGAATTTTAACACCTCTTCCAGCATGTACCTGAGATTGCCCTTGGAGAACTGTTATTTGGATTCTTTGGAAATAGA